AAAGTGTGTCTCTAATTAATTGTGTTGGAACTGCAAAATGTATTCAGGGACAACCATGTAAAGCTTTGAATCAATAAACCTATGCAATTGTTACCATTGTGCATTGTTGCCTTCTGTAGTGATTGTACCCATCGGGAACAAAGGATCCCAAGAGGATCAGTTTTGTATTTTTTTCTCCTTTCAAAGAATTTTACTTTTAATGAGCAATTGAAGATAGAATAGTTGACCTTTATTTCTATTTTAAAGGATTGCACCAAGTTTTGAAATAAAAGCTGGACTTGTTTGTTTGCAACAGACAGTGTTCTATATCTGTCAGCTCCTTCAGGTAGTTCAGGAAACCAAAACTATGGGTCCTAACACTTACCTTTATTGGGAGGTTACAAAAACAGAAACTTGCAAGTCTGAAAGCACTTCTCCTCTTTCCTGTCTTTACTTTCAGGAGAACTATGGACAGTCCCTTCTGAGATGTTTTCTATGTTCTTCTGTGCGCTGAAATATAACAGAATAACAAAATAACAGAGTTGGAAGGGACCTTGGAAGTCTTCTAGTCCAACTTCCTGCTCAAGCAGGAGTCCCTATACCCGTGATGGCGAACCTATGGCACGCGTGCCACAGGTGGCATGCGTAGCCATATCAGTGGGCACGCCAGCTCAGCTCTGGGGCGCATGCGCGCACCGGCTAGCTGATTTTTGGGCCTTCTGGGCCCACCAGAAGTAGGGAAACAGGCTGTTTCCTGCCACCAGAGGGGCTGGGGTGGGTGGGGAAGGCCCATTTTTCTTTCTTACCTGGCTCCAGGTCCTCTCTATGCATCTGCGGAGGGCGAAAACAGCCTTTCTCACTCCCTCAGAGGCCCTCCAAAGGCCTGAAAGGGCTCATTTCCCAACTCCCGGTGGGACAGCAAAAAAAATCATTTCCTGTCCCACCAGGAGTTGGGAAATGGGCCTTTTCAGGCCTCCGAGGGAGTGGGAAAGGCTGTTTTCACCCTTCCCAGATGCATAGAGAGGGTCTGGAGCCAGGTAAGAAAGAAAAATGGGCCTACCTGGCCATCGCATGCCAGCAGCGGGGGGGAGGAGGGTTGCGCATGCATGCACAGGGCAGGGCACATAGAATTATGGGTGTGGGCACGCGCATGCACAAACCTCCCCTACCCTCCCCTCTCCTGGCACACGATGGCAAAAAGGTTAGCCATCACTGCCCTATACCATTTCAGACAAATGGTTGTTCAATCTCTTCTTAAAAATCTCCAGTGATGGAACACTCACCATTTCAGAAGGCAAGCCATTCCACTGATTAATTGTTCCATGTGTTGGGAAAATTCTCCTTAGATCTAGGTTGGTTCTCTCCTTGATTAGTTTCCATCAATTGCTTCTTGTTTTGTTTTCAGGTGCTTTGAAGGGTTGACCCCCTCTTCTTTATGGCAGCCACTTAGATATTGGAACACTGCTATCATGTCACCCCTGCTCCTTCTTTTCATTAAATTAGACATACCCAATTCCTGCAACTCTTCTTCATATGTTTGGACCTCCAGTCCCCTAATCATCTTTGTTACTGTTCCCTACATTCCTTCTAGAGTCTCAACACCTTTTTTAATATCGTGGCAACCAAAACTGGATGCAATATTCCAAGTGTGGTCTTACCAAGGCATTATAAAGTGTTACTAACACTTTACGTGATCTTGATTCTATCCCTCTGTTATTGAAGCTTTGGAGTGTGTTGGCTTTTTTGGCAGCTGCAGCACACTGCTGGCTCATACTTAAGTGATTATCCAATAGGACTCCAAGAGACTTCTCATATTTTTGTCTGACCTTTATCTGGACTACAGGTCTTCCTCCTTCCGTCTCCCAAGGTAATTCTCACAGTCAATCATAATATCCTATATCCATCCCCTTTTTTCTCTCTCCACTTGGACTGTTTTCTCAGTAAACACATTAGTCAGTTACACTTTTGATATAAAAGTGAACAGTTGCAGGAATTTGGTATATCTAATTAACAACCAATTGCTTAGCAACCATTTGAAGTTATGGTGGACCTCCACAAAGCTACATATGATTTGTTTTCAAAGTTCTGACAGCTGTACCTCCACCCCCCCCAATGGTTATGTGATTGTGTTTTGATTGCTTGGCAACCAACTTGCATGTATTGCTGTTTATAGTGTCCCATGGTCACGTGACAACATTTTTTCAGGGGTTTTTTGGAGGGCTGGTTTCCAGCATTTACTTTCAGTTTCTAAGCAAAGAAAGCCCATTGGGGAAAATGGGTTCACTTAACAACTGCAGTGCTTAATAACCACTGCAAAATAAGTTGTAACATCAGGCACAGACACATGGTAACCTACTTAACATGGCTTGCAACTATAACTCTGGGTTCAATGATGATTATAAGTCAAGAACTATATTTGCCTTAACCATTTTTTCCTCTGTAGCCATTCTATTCAAAAGTGGTAATTAGTAATTTTAATTTCAAAGAGACAATGTGGTATGGTGGTTGAAGTGTTGGGCTACAAAGGGTGATAACTACGTTTGAGTCCACTCTCAGCTACGGCAGCTAGCCTTGTGACTTTGAATCAGCTACATTCTCTCAGAATAGTTATGATGGAGAAAATTCACCCTTCTTTTAGTTCCTGAACAAAAGATGAGATATAAATCTGGTATATATTGATCTTTTCCATACATTAGTAGTCAAGAATCTGTATCTCCAACTCTGTTGGATCTTCACATTGCTAATTTTCTCATGCACCTAGTGCTCCATATGCAAACATCCTTCCAGTCACCAAAATGGTTTGTCTGAATTGTCCATTTGGTAACATGCAGTGTGAAATAGCTGTATTAGAACCATCAAAATGTACAAAATTGGGTACAACTCTTTTAACCATGAGAAATATTCATTATTATAAACAAAAAGGGGAAAAGGACAGGGAAAGGGGAGGGAAGATATTTTGTGTCTTGAGCTTTGCATTTTTCAACGTTTTAAGTTAGTGATTTAGACTAAATATGAACGACAATGCAGTAGCTTTCTTTAACCTGACCATGAAAATTGGCATTATAATGATAATGCTTCCATATTTCAGAAATAACAATACTTTCATTTAGTCCTTGGCTATCATGTTGTTATATCCTATTTTATTTGCAAAGTTCATTGTCTTGTCTGTAATGCTGCATTCTTCCTGTTTTTGGCTTTGCATGTATCTGTAATTTGGATGTACATCACCTGGAGACACTTTCACCTGAATTCAAAGTTCTGTGCCAATTATCTTCTCACACACTTTTCAAATGGACAGTAATTTCCCTGGATAAATAAGCATGCTGTAGTGCACAGCATCTATTTGAGAAATATTAACAATCACTTCTAATAAGCTACACAGGCAGTGTCCTGTATTAAGACACACACACACAAAACCCTGCATCACAAGCTGTTCAATTAGTGGTACTCTGAGTTTCCTTTCCTCTGAATTACTTTTCTAATTTTATGATAGTTTTTCCACTGAAATATGTATGGCATATATGACCTTTATAGTCATTTCTATTTATAGAAAAGGTCATTAATTTCTCTAAAAAACACAGTATCATCTTGATCTAGATTCTCAAGAGCTATCTTTAAAAGTTTCCTTTAATTTTGTAAGCATTACATGGAACATTATTTTACTAAACTGAAACCATGGATGCAAATACCTCCAAGAAAAGACAGTTCTTTAAAACAATGCCCCCCCTTTTTTTTCTCTAGCTGGGTCTTGTCACTTTAAAAAGTGGATCCTTGAAGGGTTCTACGTTTTTTAAGTTTTATTCCATTAAACCAGTTATGTCAGGTGGATTTGCAATCAGATGCTATTACAATTTATCTGTAGAATGGTTTTTGAAAACAAAAATCCTAACCCACAACCACTTTAAATCAATGGTACCAGATGAAGGTCAATTTCCATCACAGGCATCTAATTTTTTTTTTAATCAAGCTTGTAGAAATCAATAGGAAATTAAAACATGTATCTTAACCATCGGTCAATCTTGGATTCCAGAAAGGGGTTTTAAAAATAAATATACCTGATAAAGCAAATGGACTCAGTAACAGTGATGCACCTTTAGAAGAACCTGAAAGACCAGCTAAGGACAGATTGTTGTGGAGAAAATCTATCTGTGTAATTGCTAAGAGTCAACACCAACTTGATGGCACATTTAATATATTTCTATTGGCTGAGAAAGGATTGCTAATTGTGGGATTTTCAGTTGGCTGGACTTTGGCACAAGACACTTTGCTATTTCATCTTGGGTAGCAAAAGATGTTGGATCAGCCCTGTTTACAATGTTAAGTCAGATAATAGTGGACGCAGAGAGTGCTAGATAACAGGTTCAAGGACCATTATTCCATCATCCCATAATGCCATCCATTCTCTAATAGTAGCTAAATGGGTGGACGACTCAGTTATATTTCAACTGAGGTAGCAACGAAGAGGTGTCTAAGCTTAGAGAGGGAGGAGAAACTGCATGCACCACAGTGGGGTGCCTGATTCTGACTCTATGCCTTCCATTTTACACATATTTTCCAGCCAAAGGTGACAGATTCATTATATCTAATGGAAAGCCAGCCTTGAAGCAGATCCTTCTCCAATTGTGACCTGTGTACTACTTGAAAAAAGTAATGGCTTCTTTGAACATGAATCCTCGTGACTTTCAACAACATACAATATGTACATATCTAGGTAATTTACATCTCAATGGTACAGAAATAATTTGTATTGCCCTTTTTGGGGATTTTTTCCCCCCAACTTCCCAGACTAAACCACAATCTTTGGATTTCCAACCTGTCTCCCATTCAATTTCTAATCAGGTTTGAGCTTACATATTTTTTTTCAAGTTCAGGTGGAAAAAAAATTTCCACCCTCTCAATCCTCAGCCTTATCAAGGTTAGATTCATTTGTAAGATATATAAACTGATGTCTAGAATAAGTCCCCAAAGTACTTTTTCAAGAGGCAACTGGACTTTCTGGTTTTGCTTTGAAGACATTACCCTCCAGTGGGGGTGGAACTAAAACCTGGAGTGGAGTCTGTGAGTATGAGGCAGCGTCCCGTTTTTTGGGGAAGCTATTTGTGCTATTTATGAAAGCATTCAGAGATTTGGAGGCGCGGTTTTTGGTGCTTATTTAGTCCTCCTGGAATATTCCAATTATCCCAATTAAACAGTTAGATGGGTTTTACAGCCCGGGGCACGGTAACTTTACACCCGGCTGTGTTGAATCCATATACCCTGTTAAGTTTAATTCCACCCCGGGCTGAGTGGTTTTCTGTTATTGATTTAAGGGATGCATTCTTTACAATTCCCATTCACCCCGTAAGCCAGCCACTGTTTGCATTTTGAGTGGGAGAATCCTTACACAGGAATGAAAATGCAATATACTGGGACTCGGCTGTCTCGGGGATTTAAGAACTCCCCCGCATTGTTTGGAATAGCGGTAGCTAGAGACTTACAGTATTATGTGCCTCAACAACCAGGAGACACAATACTGTAATATGTTGATGATGTTTGGATCAACAGGACTGACAGAGGATTTATGATGGGAGAATACTAAGATGAATACACGATGATGTTAGATTTGTTACTAGAGTGTGGTTATTGGGTAGCAAGAAAGAAAGCTCAATTGGTGAAAAGGAAAGTTAGATATTTGGGATACAATATAAGGGTTATCGAGCTTTAGGACCAGAGCAGGAAAAGGGCGGTCCTAATGCTGGCAGAACCCCGAACAAAAAGACAACTGAGAAGGTTTTTTTAGGACTAGCTAGCTTTTGCTGTAATTGGATGGGGAGGGGGCCGAAAAGCTGGCCCCACTGTTTGAAGGTGCTGGCTGCAAGTGCAGAATTGATTCAGAATTGTAATAAACTTACTTTTTCTTGTCCTATACTCATGCACTCCCCTCATGAGGAGCAGTCTGTGTTGGATACTAAGGGACATTTGTGGATTAGTGGGCAAAGGCTGACAAAATATCATGCAATTAGGAGTGAGAATCCACAGGTGTGTCTGGTGGTGTCTAACCGATTAAATCCAGCAACTTTGTTGCATACGGAGTCTGTTTCTGAGTATGATTGTTTACAGGTATTGGAGGTTTATTCCACCCGACCATGTAAATATGGTAAAATAAGGTAAATATGTATGTTAGGTGGCCTGATTTAGGTCATAAAGGGGGGGGGGTTGGAATATGGAGATGGTACAAGAACTTAATAAGCAAATTGAGAGATTCCAACGATATGTGATGGAACAAGTACCCCCTAGATTAGTAACTTAATGTCACTCATTTGAACCTGGGGACCAGGTGGAAGATGGAAGGGATCTTTTATTGGTATTATGACTTCTCCACTTGCTATTAAGATTGCAGAATCAAAATCATGGATCCATCGGACATGAGTCAAGGCAGCAGCTGACACTGGCTGGAAAGTGTCCGTGGATGAACAACATCCAACAAAACTGACATTTGAATATGTTTAAAGAAAGCTTTTGTATTCTATATATAGGTTACCTTGATGTATATCTGCTGATGTAACCCGCTGTAAGCTAAAAAGAGGATGGAGCACCTGCTCTCTTGGATTGGTCCGGAACTTGGATCCTGACAAGAGATTGGAGATCATTGCGGATCCATGTGGGAGGCAAATTGGGTGTGGGCACTTTGAGTAATTGGGGTAGTAGCTTTATTAATTATTGTGTTTTACAGATATAAGCAATGGTTTTGTGGACAACCAGGGCCCATTTGATTTCTCAGTCGTTCCGATTCCTAATATTTCCCCAACCGGCTGCGGAGTGTGAACCTCTTACAGATGAAAGAAGTCCCTGCTTAGGACACCCTGGAAGCTGCCTTTTGATGCAAAAGAACGGAAAAGAGAATTTTCTTTAAATGTGTTGGTTTTGTAATTGTGGGTGTGAGTGTTGTTGTTGCACTCACTGTATTGATTGTGTTTTATGTATAAGCTGTAAGGTAGAGTGGGACGTGAAAATTATAGAGGAGGTGCTAGTATATTATTTGGTAATAAATCCTGAACCCTTGTAATATTATCTGAAATGGAAAAGCTGCATATACCTGAAATTCCTAGTCATGTAACAAATACCTTTGTCAAATTAGCCGAAGACATAGCCCACACTCTGAATGTATCGAATTGTTTTGTTGGTGGAGGAACTAACATGGGAGAAAAATGGCCGTGGGAAGCTCAAGGAATTAAATTATTCCAAAATATTAGAAATGGATCAGAAAGGTAATCTGTCATATAATAAGGGTAAGGATGGAGACTGGACCTTGACTACTAGTCTGGTAGGGAATGTTTGTTTTTGGAGAAAAATTGTGCCAGGCTGTCATCAGGTGGGAAACCTCATATGTACAGGAAAATGGGAAAGTAAGGTATGGTGGTCAGGAGCTAATGCCACAGAGGGAACTGATGAAAGGGCCCTGTTTAAAGTAAACGGGTTATCCTTTTTAAAGGATCCAGATAATCAGACCCTTGAATGGCTGGCTCCTGATGGACTATACTGGATATGTGGTAAGATGGCATATGGGGTTCTACCAAAATCTTGGTGTGGAGCTTGGGTCCTGGGAATAATTGGACCAGGATTTTTTTTTTTTTTGCTTCCCCTTAAAACCCGACAGGTGTTAGGTGTCCCGGTATATGATGAGGTGGGAAATTTAAGACAGAGAAGACATGTAGATACATCAGCAATAAGGAAAGTTAGGGTTGGAGGTAACCAACGTAGTTGGGGAAGTGAAGAATGGCCTGCAGAACGAATTATTGAGGTTTATGGACCGGCTACATGGGCGGAAGATGGCATGTATGGCTATTGGACCCCTATATACATTCTGAACCGTTTAATTCGTCTGCAAGTTGTGGTTGAAATCATCACCAACGAAACTGTAAAAGGTCTTACTCAATTAGCTAGGGAAAGTGTCAAATCAAGGACATATATTATGCAGAATAGGTTAGCTTTAGATTATTTGTTAGCCAAGGAAGGAGGGGTATGTGGACTAATTGCTGTATAGAAGTTGATGAAAGCGGAAAGGTTATTAAGGAAATAATAGACAAAATGGTTAAAATAGCTCATGTGTCAGTCCAGACTTGGAAAGGCCTTAATTTACAGGATATGTTTTCAGGATGGTGGCCAAAGTTACCTGGCCTGCAGGCCATCTTTGGCCTGGTAGGATTAATAGCTGCAAGGGTGTCTTTTTCTCCCGTGTATTTTACCTCTGTTTGTTAAACTATCTCTAAAAGTCTATCCTTGCTGGTGGAACGTAAGACAACTGCTCAGGTGATGGCTACGTGGGATTACAAACGGCTCCAGCAGGAAGAGGACCTATGGTGTGACTCGTCTGGATAAACAGATGAGTCACAAAGGGGGGTATGAGCCAGGCTAAGATTCGATATTGGGATAAAACTCAAATATTAGAAATCCAAATCTTTGGTCAAGACAGAAGTGCCTCTCCCGTGCCAAGGTGCTGAAATGACAAACGGTATTTGACGTAGGTACAGAATTGTAGAAGGGCAAACTGACCCTAAACAGATACATTCTGTTGTTTAATGTTTATTGCATCCCAAATGTCATGCATATCCCTGGATAACGGGTGCTGCTTCCTTATTGCCCTTGAGGCGTCTTCTAGCCTCTTATCTCCTTTTGTTATGTCTTGAGCTCCGGAGCTGAAAGCCTGAGCCTGTGGGAACCATGCTGTTATGTCTTTCCTAGAGATAGATTAAAGGGTAACTTCTACGTGTGAAATGTTGTACTCTTCGTAATAACTTTGTCTTTATACTGTATAAATATCTGGTTGAAATCATCCATCTTTGTTCAAACTTTTGGGGTCTTCGGACTGTTTGAACCTTTGCGCAAATAAAAACTCTTTCCTGCACTGAAGAGCTTGTCCTAGTCCGTCATTTTTCCTACAACAATACATTAGTAGTCAAGAATCTGTATCTCCAACTCTGTTGGATCTTCACATTGCTAATTTTCTCATGCACCTAGTGCTCCATATGCAAACATCCTTCCAGTCACCAAAATGGTTTGTCTGAATTGTCCATTTGGTAACATGCAGTGTGAAATAGCTGTATTAGAACCATCAAAATGTACAAAATTGGGTACAACTTTTTTAACCTTGAGAAATATTCATCATTATAAACAAAAAGGGGAAAAGGAAAGGGAAAGGGGAGGGAAGATATTTTGTGTCTTGAGCTTTGCATTTTTCAATGTTTTAAGTTAGTGATTTAGACTAAATATGAATGACAATGCAGTAGCTTTCTTTAACCTGACCATGAAAATTGGCATTATAATGATAATGCTTCCATATTTCAGAAATAACAATACTTTCAATTAGTCTTTGGCTATCATGTTGTTATATCCTATTTTATTTGCAAAGTTCATTGTCTTGTCTGTAATGCTGCATTCTTCCTGTTTTTGGCTTTGCATGTATCTGTAATTTGGATGGCCATCACCTGGAGACACTTTCACTTGAATTCAAAGTTCTGTGCCAATTATCTTCTCACAGACTTTTCAAATGGACAGTAATTTCCCTGGATAAATAAGCATGCTGTAGTGCACAGCATCTATTTGAGAAATATTAACAATCACTTCTAATAAGCTACACAGGCAGTGTCCTGTATTAAGACACACACACACAAAACCCTGCATCACAAGCTGTTCAATTAGTGGTACTCTGAGTTTCCTTTCCTCTGAATTACTTTTCTAATTTTATGATAGTTTTTCCACTGAAATATGTATGGCATATATGACCTTTATAGTCATTTCTATTTATAGAAAAGGTCATTAATTTCTCTAAAAAACACAGTATCATCTTGATCTAGATTCTCAAGAGCTATCTTTAAAAGTTTCCTTTAATTTTGTAAGCATTACATGGAACATTATTTTACTAAACTGAAACCATGGATGCAAATACCTCCAAGAAAAGACAGTTCTTTAAAACAATGCCCCCCCTTTTTTTCTCTAGCTGGGTCTTGTCACTTTAAAAAGTGGATCCTTGAAGGGTTCTACGTTTTTTAAGTTTTATTCCATTAAACCAGTTATGTCAGGTGGATTTGCAATCAGATGCTATTACAATTTATCTGTAGAATGGTTTTTGAAAACAAAAATCCTAACCCACAACCACTTTAAATCAATGGTACCAGATGAAGGTCAATTTCCATCACAGGCATCTAATTTTTTTTTTAATCAAGCTTGTAGAAATCAATAGGAAATTAAAACATGTATCTTAACCATCGGTCAATCTTGGATTCCAGAAAGGGGTTTTAAAAATAAATATACCTGATAAAGCAAATGGACTCAGTAACAGTGATGCACCTTTAGAAGAACCTGAAAGACCAGCTAAGGACAGATTGTTGTGGAGAAAATCTATCTGTGTAATTGCTAAGAGTCAACACCAACTTGATGGCACATTTAATATATTTCTATTGGCTGAGAAAGGATTGCTAATTGTGGGATTTTCAGTTGGCTGGACTTTGGCACAAGACACTTTGCTATTTCATCTTGGGTAGCAAAAGATGTTGGATCAGCCCTGTTTACAATGTTAAGTCAGATAATAGTGGACGCAGAGAGTGCTAGATAACAGGTTCAAGGACCATTATTCCATCATCCCATAATGCCATCCATTCTCTAATAGTAGCTAAATGGGTGGACGACTCAGTTATATTTCAACTGAGGTAGCAACGAAGAGGTGTCTAAGCTTAGAGAGGGAGGAGAAACTGCATGCACCACAGTGGGGTGCCTGATTCTGACTCTATGCCTTCCATTTTACACATATTTTCCAGCCAAAGGTGACAGATTCATTATATCTAATGGAAAGCCAGCCTTGAAGCAGATCCTTCTCCAATTGTGACCTGTGTACTACTTGAAAAAAGTAATGGCTTCTTTGAACATGAATCCTCGTGACTTTCAACAACATACAATATGTACATATCTAGGTAATTTACATCTCAATGGTACAGAAATAATTTGTATTGCCCTTTTTGGGGATTTTTTCCCCCCAACTTCCCAGACTAAACCACAATCTTTGGATTTCCAACCTGTCTCCCATTCAATTTCTAATCAGGTTTGAGCTTACATATTTTTTTTCAAGTTCAGGTGGAAAAAAAATTTCCACCCTCTCAATCCTCAGCCTTATCAAGGTTAGATTCATTTGTAAGATATATAAACTGATGTCTAGAATAAGTCCCCAAAGTACTTTTTCAAGAGGCAACTGGACTTTCTGGTTTTGCTTTGAAGACATTTTGCTTCTCATCCAAGAAACTTCTTCAGTTCTTCAGAGCTGAAGAAGCTTCTTGGATGAGAAGCAAATGTCTTCAAAGCAAAACCAGAAAGTCCAGTTGCCTCTTGAAAAAGCACCTTTGGGACAACCATGACCTGGATGATTGAGAATCTCCATAGATGTCTAGAATAAGCTTTCCTCATAATTACTGATATTTAGAGAGCATAGACATGTAGTTTACTTGCAAATATACAAAGCTTTCCAAATGCCATTCCACTATTCAAGGAAGAACATTGGCAGGGATGCATCATCAGCACCAAACATAATTATGAAGAGTTCTTCATAGACTTCCAATGTGCAATTTAATAAGTCTGGCAGAGAAAAACTCCTGGTTCAATTTGGCCTTCTTTCACATCTATTAAAAATGTATCATGCCTTCCAACTAGGTTTTTTTTCTTCTTCTACCAGGCTAAACGCCATTTGAGGTATTACCTGTTGTCAGAAAATGTCAAATTTGTAAGGGGAAATGTCACATCACTAAAAAAAAGTACTACTTAATGACATGGAAATCACTTTACAGTTCTTCAAATGATTCAAAGATAGCTTGTTATATGTCTCTGCCAGACAGCCATCTGCTTCCAAGTTCTTGTGCTATCATTATAATTTTTTTAAAAAAATATATATCTAAATGATTATTACCTTATTTGAAATGTACATATTGTTTGAAATCCTTTTGCGGTATTTATCAGTCATTGTTCCTATCACAAACTGGCTTCCTATCTTCCTTCTCCTACTATTAGGATAGCCTTTGATCAGTGGTGAAATGTAAAATTTGTTACTACCGGTTCTGTGGGTGTGACTTGGTGGGGGGGGGTTAATGTGACTGGGTGGGCATAGCCAACTTTTTTTTTTTTTTACTTTTAAAAGCATTTTTTCTACAACCTCTTCGGCCGAAGAAGTTGTAAAAAAAAATGCTTTTAAAAGCCTCTGCCAATCAGGCAACTCAACTGGGATGGTCAGAGGCTTTTAAAAGCATTTTTTCTACAGCTTCTTCGTCCGAAGAGGTTGTAGAAAAAATGCTTTTAAAAGCTTCTGACCATCCCAGCTGAGCAGCACGATCATCAGAGGCTTTTTTTTTTACTTTTAAAAGCATTTTTTCAGCCGAAGAGGTTATAGAAAAAATGCTTTTAAAAATTAAAAAAAAGCCTCTGATGATTGTATGGGTCAGCTGGGCATGGTGGGGGGGGAGGCAAGGATTTTTGCTACTGGTTCTCCGAACCACCCGCCGCCATCTCTACCAGATCGGGCGATCCGGTCCAAACCGGGAGCATTTCACCCCTGCCTTTGATACAATGTGGACTGAATCTCCCAATGTTACCTTCACTTTTCTGGTGAGGTGGGGAGCTATTTGGAAAGATTTGGCATGGGTGGATGGAGACAGAGGGTTGCAAAGGAGAGGTAGAACAACTCACACAGAGGAAATGTAAGTGTGATATTTTCTGATACAGAATTCTGGCCCATGTTACCATTGTAATTTCATTCTTCATTTCATTTCACCATTTCATAATTCATCTCTTAAGGCTGGTATAAATATTTTTGTTCAGCCATCCTTTTAATCTATTCTTAGGTTTATGTTTTTTCTTCAGCATAGTAACTTTTAAATATGCCCCACCCCCATCCGTGTGTGTGTGTGTGTGTGTGTGTGTGTGTGAAGCTGGTGTAGTTGCTCATTGTGAGTAGAGCAAGAGTAGTTTTATTCTTATTCTACATTTTCCCCCCTTCAATCCTCTTACAATATTGTCCCTCCATAAGGAGGAGTATTGTTTACGGAAAGCATTCTACTTACTGTAGGACTTGGCCACACCGGTTCTCATTCATGGAACAAAAGGCTACATTCACACGTATCCCTAACCAGACAGGCAGTCCTATCAAGTTTGACAGGCTGTGAATGAAAAGAGAGAGAAAAAGTCTCCTTCCTGAACTACCCTCGCAGTTAGCGACACTCTGTCTTTCCTCATCTGTGATTTATGACATCTTAAAATGCCACTGTTGTGATGATATATAGTAATGAAGAGAGTTTTATATCCTTGGTGCTCTCAGAGCTTGGTGCGTTTCTTGCAAATGTTTCATTACCGAACTAGGTAGCATGTTACCTATTTTGCTAATGAAATACCTGCAAGAAAAATCACCAAGCTCTAAGACCACCAAGGATCCCAGAGTTCAATCCTGAAGATATTTTCTTCTATCAGTTTTATGTCACTATAGTGATGACGATATAGTACGGGGGTGTCAAACTCAAGGCTCAGGGGCCAGATCTGGTCCACAGAGTGCTTCGATCTGGCTCTCAGGGCTTCCCTGGAAACAGCAAAGGAGTGATCCTGTGTCTCTGCCAGTGAAAATGAGCTCAGGAGGGCTGCCCGTGCCCCTCACAAGTTCAGTTTTCACTGGCAGAGGGTTGCATCAGGCTGCCACAGCTGAAAACGGAGCTCAGGAGCCTGTTTTCTCTGGCAGAGTGCTCGGGCCACCACAGGCGCCCCCAACATGAGTGAGGTCGAGCTGTCTGTGCCCACCCTGGCCATGCCCACTCCGCCCCCCCAAGGTCAAACACAACCCTCATGCGGCCCTCAATTAAATTGTGTTTGACACCCTTGATACAATA